TATATATATATAAATTATTGCAAAATATTCATTTTTGATCAACAATAATAACTATCACAATGATAATAATTAACATTATCAACAAATACTTGCAACATATTTAAAAATTAAAAAACATGATTCACGCGGATTCATTTTGTCCTATAATGTAACATTTTGTCCTATAATGTAACATTTTGTTAGCACTGTCAAACTAAAATGTACATAACAAATTCGACTCCGTCGCTGCTCCGACTTTATTGAAATAAACGTACCCCGACGAGGCTCGTGATGTGATCAGCTGTTAATAAAGTTTACATGACCACCGTATGCGTCCATTGTCGAGGAACGCGACCAATGGAACCGATAAAAAAAGCGTAATACACGCGCATATCGTATCCCAAATGACAGTCACCCCGATCATTACGCGCTCCGAAGCCGCGAGAGCGTGTCGTTGATACTGTAACTTGATACAGCGACGACGATGACGATCTAGCGCGCGCGATGTCAGGTCAGGTCAGGATGAAAGCGTCGCAGCATCCCGACATCGAGTATCGCGCGATCGTCATCGCCGAGAGCCGATACTCACTTCCTTATTGCCGCTGATACCCGATATGTAGATTTTGACCACCATCGTTGGATGTACCACCGGCTGGCTGGCTGGCTGCCTGGGACACGACGACGTACACTCTCTCGCTGCGCTCCGATCCGATTAGCGACCGGACGTACGGAAGTACGGGAACACCACGGACAACTCTGTAGACCACCAACAACCGGTCGCTCCTGACGTTATTAGCCGATTACACTAGCTTACACGTTGACGCGTAACACACTGAGTTTAACGAGCGAAAGACGGGCCGGCCCAAGTCCGGGTTCTCCGCTGCTTGCCTGCCTGGTCTCTACGTCATTCAGAGGGCAGGGGGCCGGTTCTCTCTCTCTCTATTGCCGCACCCCAGGGATGAATAACACACTTTTCTTATGCTGCGACGTAATATGTTTACAATAGTATTTTTAAATGATAAAAAGAAATAATTTTTTAGAAATAAATTGAGTAAAGATAAATATTACATATGTCAAAATTTTCAGAGAGATATCGACAATTTTTTATTAATTAAAAATTTACGCTTATAATATTTTTATGTATACGTTCCTGTGTTAGACAATTTTATCGATAATTTATGTTGTTGATTATAGCACCAGTTTGAATGAAATTAAATTAACGAGAAATATTTTTTTTCCCATGTTTGCAAACACCCGTCTCTATAATTTGATATAAAATGTATAATCTCTCACTTAATCTTTTATTCTAATATGCCTTAAAAAAAATTAAGCTCCTTTCTTTAAAAACTATTACATGATTTTTATACATGATATACATATGTATAATAAAAAATAATTTATGTAATTTATTCGCCAAAAATATTTTTGTACCAATATTTATTAAAAGGAGATTATATTATATACAAGAATTTTATTACGTATTTCATTTTGTTGCGCAATATATATGCTTTAATTATATTTTTAATAGTCGGGTTAGATATATACTGGCGAGAGAAAGAGAGATATTGTGTTTTTAGAAAATAATGTGGGGGATCCGTATTAAATGGACGAAACATCGTTTAGAATTTCCACGTCTGATATTTAATTGAAAGATTTTCTATTAATTAATCTCAAGAGTTGTTAAGCTTTTCCCGCGTTCATTTGAATTCGACGATGTTGCGATTCATTTCCTTTCGGCAAACTTCCGGCGTTGACACTCGAGCCTCTCCAACTTTCCATCGCTCTCTACCTTTTTCCGGTTCTTTGCAAAAGTGTTCTACATCTATTCAAAATGGTAAGATATTTTTCATCAAATTTTGTATATCAAATCTTGTCGAAATATGCACGAAATTGATTGCCGAACAGAAGTGATTGCTTTCGAGAAACTTTTAACGTATATATTTTATCGAAGAGTGTCAGCTCCGCGTGACTGTAGAAGATGTAACCTAAATAGTGGGGTTATGTTTTGGAGGCAATCTTGCATCGAGCTTGAATATTATCAAAGTTATGTATAGCAGATATTTTACAATTGTTTGAATTTTTTAATAGGCCAAACGCACGAAGAAGGTCGGAATCACCGGTAAATATGGCACCCGCTACGGTGCCTCCCTTAGAAAAATGGTGAAAAAAATGGAAATCACACAACACAGCAAGTACACTTGCTCTTTTTGCGGCAAAGTAAGTAATTTTTATGCTTTAAAAATTAATGCTATAAAGTGTCTGGAAAAAGATAAAATTTTAAATCATCTTTGTGTGATATCTTTTAAAATTAAGATCTTTCTAAGAAATGTATTTTATTTTATAAATACATCATGGATCATTTATATTTATAATATTATCTGATGATTTACAATAAGTAGAGTATAGAAAAATTGAGCTATATTGTTTTGCTTTTGATAGGAGGCAATGAAACGCAGCGTTGTAGGAATTTGGTCGTGCAAACGATGTAAGAGGACAGTTGCTGGTGGTGCATGGGTATATTCCACAACTGCTGCCGCTTCAGTAAGATCAGCAGTGCGCCGATTACGTGAAGTTAAGGAACAATAAACATATGTAATAAATATCTTTTTGTCAATATTTATTGTGAATTTGTTTTATTTAATGCAAACCGGTTATTCTTAATTGATTCGTGTGTACTTATGCAATGACAAATTTACATTATATTTCATTAAAGTGACAGCTCTTAGCTTTTTTATATTAGGCTTATGCTGGCTGAACACATAAAAACAAGTTATTTTTTTATTGTATTTTTTATTAATTCATTGTTTATGGAACAGAAATTGTTTAATAATACAAAAAAACTCGTTTTTTAACAAATTCTAAGAAATGATTTTAAACATGAGTATATGGTAGTAAATATATGATAAATTATTGCATTTAGTGTGGGAATTATAAGTATTGAAATAATGATATCAACGATTTTTTCACATATATAACGAAATTAATTATTTATTCTAACAAGATATTATATCAATCATTATATGCTTATGCTATAAAATTTTATAGAATACTTATATGGTACCATTTTAACAATTATAAACAAATTAGTTTTAAGAACATATTTCTCTTTTTTTAGTCAATCTTATAGTTACATTCTAAAAAAAGAAACAAACGTTGGATTTAAATATTAATGTATGCATTCATTTTTACAAATTTTATCTATTTTAAAAATGTTTTATAAATCATACTAATATCATAATATATA